ACGTGATGTTCAGTAGGCGCACAATGGTTTTTAGTCATGTAACTCTATTGTAAATAAAAAACATGTAAAGTACTGAAAAAAAAATTCATAAAAAACGTTTTAATAACAAGCTTTTATGTAATGATGCACTAAAAATTAGAAAATAATTATAGACTACTATTTAAATAACTATAAAGAAAAGCGTGGGTGTCTTCCTTAACATTAGTAAAGGTATCCAATAGATACTAAAGTGACCCACGCTTTTCTTTATAGTTATTTAAATAGTAGTCTATAATTTATTTTCTACTTTTTAGTGCATCATTACATAAAAGCTTGTTATTAAAACGTTTTTTATGAATTTTTTTTAATATGTTTGCCTTAATGGAATTGTTTGTGTTGTTATTCGTAAAAAGACTTAAAAGAAAATGCACAGTCCTTCGAAGATTTAATGGAAACTAAAAAAAATTGGAACCAAATAAAATTGTTTTTTTTAGCGAGACTTTTGAATTTTTTTTATCATACACTTTTCATCAGAACTATTGCCAACGTCGATTCTTTGCGAATCGAGGAAGTTTTATTTTATCTGTAGAATATTATTATCGAGCTCATACAAATCATGGTATTTGATTCTACTTCTAACGCATTGTTTTTTTTAATAGTGTTTAAAGTATGTACAATTTGGTTAATAACACGTTATAAAAAATATAATTAAACTGGATAACAAAAAGAACATTAAAACATATCATTATTTTTCCCAGTGACGTTTCTCTGAAGATATAATTTGTTTACCCACTAATAGAGTAAAATACTTTGCTAAGGACTAAATTTCATAAATAGTGTAGATACTATAGCTAGATGTATTATATGATTTATATCGGTAAAAACATATACTTATCTTCAGACGCTTTTAACTAATGTTCGTTTTTATTTAGATACACTCACATATAATTATTGTTTTAATCGGTACAACATAACTTCTAGAAATGTTTAAGATCTCACTACGGTGACAAAGCTTAAAAAATAATTTAATTTGGTCTCTTTATAGTTTACTGTTACATTACTTTCAAATAGATTGCTGCAGTTGTAAATACTAACCCCTATATTATGTTTTTCTGTCAGCTTAAACGTTAATGCTTTCTGTATGTTTCTATTGCATGTAGCCTACTTATGATCTTTACGGCTTTTAAATAGACTGTTTTTACAAAATCTTCTACCTAAGTTTCATCAATTAAGTGTTACTCAAAGAAACAATATTTATCAAAGTGTGATATTCTGTTGAGATATAAATGTTTATTACAATCCTATGTGATGAAGTTTAAAAACAAATTGGCCAGCATTTTCGATCGAAGAATGCAAACAAGTAAGTTATCTTATCAGCCGATGCACCAGAGTGTAAATGTACTTCAAAATGACCATGATCTGTCTGACAACTTCTGTAATTCAATACTTCAGCAAACATTACAATCGTACTTCAGTGTTTAGAAATGTGTTCGAACTAATTTCTTCAAAAAATTTTCACTGCAATCTTTAGTTACAAAATTATCAAGGGAATTTTTTTGTTTTACTTTCTAGTAGAAAATATCAATTTTACTAAAACTATAATATTTGTAAATATTACGCACTGTATTTTATCTAATAACTGAGGGCATAAAACTACAAGTTATAATAATCTGTTCATAAGTGGACATTCCCCAGCCTTGTCAGAGTACACATCGATTTCATTGTTTGCTAAACAAATTATATTTCTAATCCCACAATTAGCAGGGTGACATCGTGAATAATCATGTGTCTGCATATAAAAAAAGAGTAACGGTTACATACATTTTAAGCTACTTAATTACTTCATTTGTAATTTAAAAATGAGTGTAAGAAATTGTACATTTAGAAGCCGCTAATATGTTAAAATGTTTTATAAAATTGAATAAGATTATAGCAACTTGTTATGTGATTTAGACTCAAGCAGTTATAGCTTGAATTATAAAATGGATTACACAATCTGCAGCAGAATAATGTACGTGTGTTTATAATAAACATTGTATATTAAATTATTTGATTTGATTTATCTTTAAAAAAGTAGAAGATATCGGTTGCATTGCAATATAGTATGTAAATAATTCATTGTATGTGTAATCTGATACAAATCGAGTAAGTTAAAAAAGACACTTATTTTAATATAATAAAATGTAAAAGGGGATATAACCGCATTTTCTCAATTATGTTTAATTTATATTTATTACATTTTTTTCTCCCCTTTGCTTTAGTTCAGTATACATCAACGTTATTATGATGATTTTTAATGTTATTTGTTTTAATTGATCTAAATCTGTCGGAGATATTTCCTAACTGACCGTTTTGTTAATAAAAGTAAACAGAGACCCCATGTTTATCTAGCCGAACAACATAAATAAAGAGCAACAACACAACTTTTGACGAGGATTCACTGTCATTGTCAGATGTTTGTGATGAAGTCATGAACATTATTAATATTGTTTTTAAAATGGTGTTCATTGTGCATTTTAAGCTTACACATTTCCAGCTTTGAATAAACACAACAAATTATATATATATATATATATATATATATATATATATATATATATATATATATAAAGAACATTATTAATCTGAGTTTAAACCGTGTTTTGAATTCAGTGATATGTGTTTTGGAGTCATTTGAAACATCCTCACATTCATCATACTTACTTACACCGGCAAGGGAGATAACCGGCTTTATTATAACAGGTCAAAGTGTCGGATTTATTCTCCCCCTTTATATATTATGGTGGGAACTTAAACCTATATTAAAACAATTTCATTGAGAATCAGCTGCATGTATGTACGTTTAATGTGTAGTGTATGTATTCGGATGGAACCAGTAGGCAGTTTGCGTTAGTGTTCATATGGTTAATGTAATAGCAGTAGAGAGAATTAAAGCTGTGGTATTTCTATTTGAAACCTCGAGATTTTTAACCTTTTTTTTTTCGAATTAAGTTAATCGCTATTGTTTTTATATTTTGATAATTGGACATTTGATATCAAAATAAACAGGACTGTATTAACCATTTACTATGGTATCATTTTAAAGGCGTATTTAGATCTGTTTGCCATAAGTTTAATTAACCAAAGCAGTTTAAACAAAATGTACATATAAATATCAATATACCTTATCACTAATTAACTGACCTTTTTTTAGGCGGAAACATGATATGTCGTGTATTTTGATTAGACGTGGTCTAGTAATTATTATATACTAGCGTACCCGTCCCCGCGTGTTGCCGCGGGGATAGAAGAAAGTCTGACTGAATATATAAGAAGGGTTTAATCAATGCGTTACCAATCCTATGTTAATAGACGGATGACCTTGTTTTCTAAAATTGAGTTATTTAAATATAAACAATGCCTGCACTTGGATCATAAATATCGGGACACGGGTTTACCTACACTACCTCATGAAAACCTTAAGTGTACGTTAATCACTCACCGTAACAGTGAGGTAGAACACACTTCGGTGACCGACCATATGTCAGGAATGTAGAGGGGAACTCTCGGGAGCCCCCTCCTCCCGATTACACTACCGCAGAGGCGCTGCGTACGGCCGCTGGCTCATTAAAACTAACATAAGCGCCATAGTGCTCACAGGATAGCCCAGAACGACTATATGATGCAGATTGCGTCTTCGCTTAAGTGACAACAATCAACAGGATTTTTCTTTAACAGGTAAAAAAATATTTGACGTGTTATTAATACCAGTGTGATTGATGCAATTTGTTAGCGTTACTAATGGTGTATTATTACATGCTCGATCTCAATCTCTGATTGGATCGTCTAAAGAAGATTCTTGCGTACAAAGCTATTTTTAGAAGTGTTACTTTTATTTTTTGATCTGATTTGCACTTTGAAAACTAATTTTTATTTACGGTTCATTATTTCGAGAACTGTAGTTTTTTTTTGTTGACTAAAGCAAACACCCCGGCTGAGAATTTAACCTTGGTTAATTTATCTGATTAATAAATTTTTATTTTATACATGGCCCTCAGCGGGGGATGTGAGCCTTTTTGTTCGTAGCCGAATCGCACCCTACCAGGGCACCGGCGGACACGTCTGATTCAACGGCCCATCTTATCCATTGTCCACCGTACTTTTTAAAACGATCGTATGCGCCATTGGGTCCTAGGACCTTTGACCACAGGTGCTTTGACCATTGGGGGTTTGACCATAGGGGGTTTGACCACAGCGGAGCTTTGACCATAGGGGCTTTGACCATAAGGGGTTTGACCACAGCGGGGCTTTGGCCATAGCGGTGCTTTGACCAAAGGGGATTTGATCATAATGGGTTTGACCATAGTGGGTTTGACCACAGGTGTTTTCTCAGCAGAGGGTCTTTGATCACAGGTGGTCTATCAACTGGTGTTTGATCAAACCCCCTATGTTCAAAGCACCTGTGGTCAAAGGTCCGCACACCCGCCATTGCGCTCACGGGAAAGCCCGGCGATTGCCCCTAATAAACTTTTAACGCTGAATATAGTAGTACCCCTTACCCGCTATGCAGGACGCATGTTTAACGGATGCCAAGTGCTAACATAGCCGCTCTAGAACTCTGGGCGCCAAATCGTGTATTGACGAAAATCGCATCCTCCCTGGCGCCGCCTATATAAAATTTAAATTATTTTCATGGCACACGGATGAACAAAGGCGACAGGGTGTAACACTAGAATGTATAAAGCAGTAACAAACTTTTATGTAATAATGCACTAAAAAGGAGAACATAAATTATACACTACTATTTAAATAACTATAAAGAAAAGCGTGGTTCTCTTCCTAAAGATTAATAAAGTTATTTAAATAGTAGTGCCGCAGCGGTTTACACCCGACCTAGCGACGCCACTGAATAAAAGTAAAATATACAACAACCTTGGTTTAAAAAGATCATTTTGATGTAAAAAATAGATGTTTAAAATAAAGAGGGTAAAATAGGTAGACAATTGTATTAAAACAGTGAAACTCTAAGAACAATCAAATCATTATTTACAAATAATGTTTTTGTCATACAATTCTCTGTGTATTACTCGTACCTCCGCCAGACTGTACGGATGTCCAGAAATGCGCCTCTTGAAGGAACAGCCGGACACCGCATGTCTAATCCAAGAAAACAGAGAATTGTCTATCACTTCCACGCCAGCTTTCTTGGAACACATCCCTGTGATGTACACATCTTCCCACAGGAACAACGGCAACCTGAGAGACGCCTCAAACAGCAGCCACGACGCCTGTGTAGACATGACGTAGGCCGCACCTATAACATAGTCAGGATAGGTATCCTCGGGGTACTCAGAAATAGAGGTGTACCACTTGGAGTCAATTGATCTCATTGGTTGTGCTTTTATCTGTTTCGATCCCATTACAAAAGTTTTTAACTTGGGTTTGGTAATTTGAAACCGTCTCAGAATATTAACTAAATACGGGACATTAATATACATGTCATCGTCCGCTTTGAGAATATATTTTGCCTCTGAACAGTGAATAGAAGCATACTTGAGAATAGACACGGATTTGAGACTGAGGTTGTTATAAGAGTCCAAATAATCCTCTTGCAAAATGTCTCCGTACATAACAGATTCTTGAAAAAGTAATTTCTGGGTTAAACTAGCGTTAGGCGAGCTGATGTCTGGTATTCCAATAAAGAAGATTAGAATTAAGTTAAAGGAGCTTTCATTAACATTACTGCCCCAGGTCTCTCGAATTGTTTTTCTACCTTCAAAATTGTCACCGCGTGTTGGGACACAGATAATTAAATCTATCTCTTGGTGGTCATTACACTTTACAGTGGGAGAAATTAAGTTTTTATAGTCATGTGGGTTAATAACGTGTTCGGATAGAAATAAAAATTTGTTGAGATTTATGTCACTGCTAGAATTCGGAGTTTTCGTGAAATTGTTGGACGCTGGATCCCACACTTTGGATTGGTTAGTTTTCACAGGGCTGGTCCATAATCGGGGCGTATCGTAGCTCTCTATTGCCCTGCTTTCAATGATATTTGAGTCAACACTTGAGAATACAGATAAGAATATATTGTCAGATGCAACTATGCACAATACAATAGTGGACAATGCAATGGTGAAAACGAAGCTGAGCTTCACACATTTTATTTTAGACAGGACTCGGAGACCATCGTACATCCACCTGCATGAATGAGAGTTAAAGTGTGCACGTTCAAATGTGTTTTAAAATCTTAACAAAAATGAGTAACACAAATAATACATTTTAGCTTAGATATCTACGAGAAATATAAGTGTAAGCTACCTATAATTATAAGTTACGTTCCTGTATATTTTAATGTTAATCTATATTATGTATAGCTTCAGCTTTTTGCATAATCAACAGTACTTTTATCAGCTATACATATGTAACACATATGGTTACCAGCCAAGGGGGATAACAAATAAAGTTTTAATTCATTGAGTTGCGGCCCGTGTGGGCCGTAGCCCTGTTAACATAGTTGTGTTGCATGCTCTTGTGAGCGATGTTACCTGTGTCCCATGTCATGTGACATGGAACTATGGGTAGTTCCTGTATATTTTAATGTTAATCTATATTATGTATAGCTTCAGCTTTTTGCATAATCAACAGTACTTTTATCAGCTATACATAATTTTAGCAAAGCTAGTTTTTTAGCCGGGAAAGCAAATCATCTACTTTAAACACTAAATATAATAGTGTTTAAAATAAGTGTATTACATGTCATCATACATGTGATAAATTCTAATTTAACTTTCAAAGTATACATCAAAAATTTTACTTAGTTTTTATAACTCACTATTTGTTCCCCCTTTTAAAAAGTGATCTTACCTTATGATATCACGCTTCATTTCGTATTTGTTTTCAAATTAATCTTAGTTGTATGTAGAATTGTGTTGATTGTGACAAGACTGCTATAAAAAAATGTTCACAAATATGAGTATGAATAATTACATAAGACAAAAACTTTAATTCAAATTGTATATTATTATGCTTCAGAGAATATCTGACAAGAAAATAGAACACATACATTTAGAAAAATATCAAATATATATATAATATATATATATATATATATATATATATATATATATATATATATATATATATATATATATATATATATATATATATATATATATATATATATATATATTATATTTGCGAAATAAGAATAATCTGTATCCAGAAATATCTGTTTAAATAAACCACATTATACAATAATTTTGTATAAATAAATTTACTTCGCAAACTAGCAATTTGTTTATAATTTATTTTTCAAAAATTATTTTTCTTTCAATACCATATTGATACATGTGTTTACTTATGTAAAGAGGAATATGTATACATGCCTTTTTGCAGGAAAGTGGAGGTCAGCGAGTATAGGGTGGACATGGTGTAATGAAAAAAAAATGTAGGCTCCTCTGTCAAGATGGCAGTACGCTTTACTAAAGGATCAAAGTCGAGAAAAGCTGCAAATGTAAGAAAAGGGGGGAAATATCGACATCGTGAGCTCACGGAGAAACAGCCGAAAAACAATTGAAAAAGAAAACGGAAATCGTACGCGATTGTGTGGAATTGGGTGACACAATCGACTTGGTTATTAAAGCGTTACGTTAGATAAAATACATGTTATCAAGTTTTACATCTTTGCTTAATTTTAAACTGAAACAAAAAATAGAGGTAGACTATATCGATTCAATATTTTTTTTGTATTTGGAAATATTTGGAAATAATGGGATATATTTGCACTAAATTGTTTATAATTATTGCCATACAAGAACATGACATTTTAATTTTGTAAACGAATCTGTGAAGCCGACAATTTGTAAAAAATAATCTAGGATTCGAAGTTGTTATTTATAAGTCGCTGTATGAGCAAATATATGTACTGTAGAAATATAACATGCAGTCAGAAATTCAAAAGTCGATCTTCATAACGCTGTTATCTCAATGTATATAAATAAATAAAAATAATTTCCATATGTGGGTGGGTATTCGTAAGGAAAGAAACTACTTTTAAAAAATCACTGACTTGGCAAGTGTTGATAAGACAATACGCTCTCACATAGGGCCGCAAAGGACCACGAGTAAAAAATAACGATATGTGACCTAAATATTTTTATTTTTTTTGACGAGATCCTTTGTCACGATTAGAAGAAAAACGTTCAAATGTCTGTGAGGCTATTTATTTTGATTTGCAAAAAGATTTGCCATACCCTAAAAGGATGTATTCTACGCCAGACAGCTGTCATTCTATTCATTTAACATTCATGTTATTTCAACCCAAACCGTTTATTGGTACTGCTACGATGAAACAATGGTTAAAAACGGGGTCTGATGATGTGTGCTCGAGGTAATTTGATAATTTTATAAATCAGCTGCCTTGTAAAGTGAAACAGATCAAGTTGTTTCAAGATTCACGTGCAAGAAAAAAAAAAGATTTGGACTGTATTACGATTCTTATGATATCTATTGCACAAACCTGAACGACATCACAGTATCATTTCCATTTCGAGATAAAAGTAACCATTTTGTCCTACCTCCACTACCACTATAACCTCTTTTTAAATGCCTGAAAGAAATTGCTTATCATGAACCAACATCAATTCACACAAAAATTGAACCCTTCATAGCTAATTCCACCAATTCTAAAATTTTTAAATGCTTAATTTACAACACTAAAGATCTGTTGCTTAAAAGCGAGCACAGAAGTATACTTCGAGCTGTTTTGTCCGTTCGATTCCACTTTGTTCCCTCTAGCTTACTTGGCGCCGAAAAGTTGTGTAGGGAACGAAAACTAAACACCGTAGTTATCCAGTGTATCCAGGACTGTCATATGTGCGCACACACACATACACAGACACACACCACATATATATATATATATATATATATATATATATATATATATATATATATATATATATATATATATACAGGGGCGGAACTACAGTGCCGCCAGACCCCGCATTGCGGGGGGGCCCACGCCATTTAGGGGCCCATCGCCGACCATAATAATTTCTTTATAGTTAAAAAAAATAATTTTCTTGCATTTTTTACTTGACGGTAAAAGCTTTTGTAAATAAAAAACAGATCTACTACAGTAGTGATGTTATACAGTAGCTAACACATGATGTAGAGTTAAAAAAAAAACTATATGCCTGAGCTGTAGTGAAAGGCAAACGTTTAGAACACTTCCATGACTTATTTCCCTTTTTTAAATAGTAAAATAGGGGTGCTCATAAGCTCTTTTTAATATATTGTACTAAACAAAAGAAAAAGAAATTACTTTTCTTAGTTATTATTTAAAAAACAACATACTAAATAATGACATAGCATAAATTGGAAATATACTTTAAACAAATAATATAAATACAAAAAAAAACATAAAAATAAACATAACACGAGAAACCATTACACTTACAAACCTTTCATGTTTTATATTCTTTTGACCGGCTAATTACTGTGGGTAGGTAGAATTACAGCAAACATTATATAAACTAGTTCTAAATATAAAGAAGAAATACAAAACAGACAAACGCAATCACACACATAACATGTTGTAATTTGTTTAAATTGAAAAAAAAAGACATTTTTTTTTCAAAACCGGATCGGGCAAGAAATGAGTATTCAATGTTTGTGTTCTGTGTTTGTATATATATATATATATATATATATATATATATATATATATATATATATATATATATATATATATATATATATATATATATATATATATATATATATATATATATATATATATATATATATATATATATATGAGGGGGGGCCCATAATTTTTTTTTGCGGGGTGGCCCTTTTTTTCTAGTTCCGCCACTGTATATATATATATATATATATAAATATTTATATGTGAGGTCGTTGGAACAGGTAAAAGGGTCATTAGATTAACAGTGATGGGTCGTGGTGGCTGACGAGGCGTGAAGAGAGTGAATGTGTGTTACTGGCGAGCCAGGCGTCAAAATCGGTGGGCTGTATATTGTTTCTATCTATTTGGCTGTTTAGTACAGACAGGTTAGGTTGTGTTTTTCAACTGAGGTGTGGGGCAGTGGCGGAACTAGAAATCACGAATAAATCAGAGATTTTCAAACACTCGAGATTGCCCCAATCAGTTTTTAGCGCAATTTACATACTGGGGGATTGCGATTATTAACTCGTCATTTCTGGATGGATGAATGTATGGATGGATGGATGTGTGTCCGCAGCTTTAAGTCGTCTTTAAGTCGTATCTCCTCCTCAACGAAGCAATATCGAGGATTTGTTCCAAAAGCAAATATGTTAAGCAAGTTCCGAGGATGAACATAGGCCAAAAAAATTCCCGGAATTTCTTTCTGGATTTCCCGGAAAAGCCAAAAAAACCTCTAAAAAATGAAGTTTTTAGCCCATATCTCGGCAACCAGACCACTTAGCGACATGAAACATTTACCAATCGATTCCTGCTGTAATTTAGAAAAATATTGGCGAAGAAAGTTTTCAAAAATATCCTTTCGTTCGGTCACAAAAATTTAATTTCTTCTAATTTGTATTGGCTAAGATTACTAAGAATATACAAATATTTCTATCCCTTCGCGTCTCACCACTAGAAGAAGCGAAGCGATGAAGTTCCAAACCAAGCACACCGGCTTGTTCTGCGGTACACGCTGCCATTGGCCAGACGCGCGCAGATCTCGCGAGAGGGCGGGAACTAGCTCTGCTCGTGTGGAGAGAAACGAAAAGGGGTGATTCGTTTGGTCACAAAAAATTAATTAAGGAAATAGCGCTTAAATTGTCACTAGACTTTTTATTAAAGCAAAACGTTACCAATCGTCTATTTTTAGACTTGTGCCCTTTTTTTCCCCAGAAGTTTAATTAATGTCGGCAGTTTATTTCTTGGATCTTAGTCGCTACTCCAATATGTAAACAAATGTTACGCCTCTGACATAAGCCTTTGCTTCTCAACTTTTCATGACGATCAGATGAATTATGCATAACAGGCGAAAGTATGTTTTCACATATACAACTGTATGTGGCAAGCTCACGCGTCGGATAACCTTCTCATTTAGGTCATCCCCACATTACATCACGTTTTTTAACGATTTACAAAAAGCCAGAGCCTCAGTGTTATAACTGAGTCCATTGTTGAAGCTAGTGGGTTATCCCACCCCCCTCTCCCGTCAATACACCTTAACCGGAACAGCCGTAACCTGAAATGAAAGTATCCCTGCCCCACCTAGTAATGGGGTCATCCATTTATGACGTCCACAATTTTTTTTTTGGATTTTGACCCCCCCCCCCCCATCCACAAAAATCCGCTTATTTCCCTTATAAAAGTCAATACGCATCCGCAAAAGCCATTTTTTTTTCGGACCCCCGCGCCCAGTGTGGACGTCATAAATGGATGTTTCCTATGTGCAGGTTAGATCGCCACCCCTCCCCCTCGCTGGAGTGCTGGGGTCAGGCAGGGTTAAGGTTCCTGAGGGTGAAGCTGGGGTCGGGAGAATGAATTAAGACAGTAGAACGTTAGCCTTGTGAGGATGTAGATGTGTTTTGTTTTGTAAAGTGTGGTAGGGAACCAAAAAAAAAAGCACAAACAATGCACACAAAATTTAATTGAATTTTTAAAAAAATATTAATCATAGACGCCTCCCCCCCCCTCACTGCGGGGGTCTGGCGGCACTGTAGTTCCGCACCAGTTGTGGGGATACAGTGGAGCTTTAAAGTTAAAATTTGGTTAACACTGTTCTCATGAAAGAATTTAAATAAGGTCATAAATATTAATAAACTTAAAAATATTTTAAGGATACGAAGCAAAACGGGGTTATTGGGTGGGGAGGTATGGGGGTAG